ACATACACAGCATCTATTTGAACTGTGAAGAGGCATAAAATATTGAAGTAAATCATATACAACATCTAATACCTGACAGTTTTTGACCAAGAATGATAATTTCATCAATTCAACCTGATATAAATGGTACTGAATAAAAATATGTAGAAAAACAAGTAATCAGATCAAAAATTATAAGATGTACTTGAATATATATAGGTACCTCATACGTAACTTCTAATGTTCTACAGAAATATTAATTTGCCTAACAAGTCTAAGATTGTCCCACAGTACAGAAGCTAACTTTTCTTGAGTCACTGAATTCCCTTTAAGAATTCAATGAAAGCTATATATTGTCCTACCAGAAAAAACAAAATGATCATATGTTCATATGAAGAAGTTCAAATTTCTGGTGATTCAGAGTCTCTGAAGCCAAAATCCAAATTTAAGAAGGTCTGTAATAGCAACAGTTTTAACTATAAGGCAAAAATCAAATAATAATATTCAATAAAAGCTGACTCCTTGGGAAAGTACAAGATATTCATATTAGGCACTTTAATTTAAGCATCTTTTATCTAGGTCTTGATCTCAAAATTAAGTAACCAAATGACTATTCAAAGCAAAAGTCTGATGGGCCAACATATTTTCTGATTTTAGACAGTTGAAACCATAGGAACAGGAGGATATCAGAATAACTTAAAATCACATTAGGGCTGGATATGGTGGCTTGCGCCTGTAATCCCTGCAGTTTAGAAAGAGTAGGTGGGAGGATCACTTGAGGCCAGGAGTTCAAGACCAGCCTGGGCAACACAGGGAGATTCTGTCTCTACAAAAATTAAAAAAAATGAGCTGGGTGTGGTGGCTTACTCCTATAGTCCCAGCTACTCAGAAGACAGAGGCAGGAGGATTGCTTGAGACCAAGAATTCTAGGTTACAGTGAGCTATGATCAGGCCACTGCACTCTAGCTTAGACAACAGAGCCAGACCCTGTCTCTAAAATAAATACATAAGTAAATAAAATTTTAAAATCCTATTAGTTAAATTGGCAGTTTAAGAACTACCAAAAAATGTTCCTGATATTTAATGTCAAATGAGTTTTAGAAGAATAAAATTATTTACCCAATATAATGTGCTTTTATTAATAAATCTTGTTGGTACACTCACGGAAATAAACCACATACAGAGCTAAAAAGTTATTTTTTACCTGAAATTGCTGCATCTATTTTAAAACCAGTCAGTTCACTGAAATCACTGGTTATAGTTCCTTGAAGTCAGAGAAAAGGGATTCACTTTGGTGGGCAATTAAATGCAAACATGTCTATTCAAAGAAGGTATAATTCTATAAAAATACCAACTTTGACAATTTGAAATTAATTTAAAAATTTTAAAAACTTTATTACCTTTGACAGAAATTCTATCCTTAATCTTAAATAGGCTATGGATAAGAAATTATGAGTTTAACTTTTTTGCCTAGTCCATGCCTGCAGTCACCGTTGTCCATGAATGCCTTGTCTAACACATAGCCTCAGTCCCTAAGTCCATCATCTCCTAAAACTTCCAGCTGCCAGCATGTCCCACGATAATGATGGCATGACGACTCACATCCTTACCACACGCACACTTGCATTATTCATCGTGACACCTCCTCGTCCACGGCCTCTCACTGCTTGCAGTAGATCAGAATGGGGAAGGAGGAGGCATTAGGAACAATGGGATAGGCCTTAGTGTTTTCTCAAAACTGTAAGCCATTATGAAATCAGTTTAGTGGGTTGTGATCAGCTTTTTGGTTTGGAGATTTTCTTGGGTGACGGGAGAAGTTTAAAATGAAGTAGAATACAATACAGTAGAACAGAGAGCATCACAGTGCCTCATACATTGTAATGGTAAGTATTTCTTCAAATATGTATCTATGTATGTATGGTTAAGGTCTTGATATAAAAGCAATTTTAAAATGTAGGTCTCAGTTTAAAAGCAATTTTAAATCTTTGGGTTGGAGGCCTCCATTCTAGTCCCAGCACAATCCCTGCCCACGTATACTTATGTCTTCCTTCTTCCAGTTTCACCTCCCATCCGCCTCACATTCACTCCATAATCATATGTTATAAATTAAAATGGTGTCCTGTGCATACTGTTTTAAATATTTAAGAAAAAGTCACTGGCCGGGTGCGGTGGCTCACGCCTGTAATCCTAGCTCTCTGGGAGGCCGAGGCGGGCGGATTGTTTGAG